GGCACTCAGGACATGGTTTAGTGGTGAACATGCTGCTGCTGCTGCTGCATTGATGATTGGACTGGATGATCTAAAGGTCTTTTCCAACGTACAGGACTCTCTGATTCCATGAAGTCGGCCCTGGACCATGAGGCAGTGCCACTCCAATCCCACCCAGGTGACAGGGACACCCCAGTGGTGCCAGGTGGGCACAGCCTGGGGCTGGCAGGGTGGTGCTCTGGTGGCTGTTGCACTCAGAGACTGGTTAAGTTATTGCAAATTTGATCAAAAATACCTGCCCACTCTCTGTAACCACATGTGGAGGTCAACAGCAGTGCCCTTCCCTTCCACTCCAAGGTCAGTTTTCCAAGCCTTCTCTGTATGGCTTGGGCTGGATTCTCCCACTTTGCTGGAGTCACATCTTCTCACAAAAAGAACCAGCTTTTATCGTCCAGTAACACAAAATTATTGCATAAAAACGCCCTTGCCTGTGCCCTAATCCAGCTTCAAATAATGTGTCCTCCACTGAAAAAGAAACAAAAGCACCATTTTACTTCTTAGTCATTCAAAACAGAAAATAATGCTTATTTATTCCCCAGGAAAGCTTATTAGAGCTTGTAGTACAGGATAAAACCCAGGATATTGTCACTCGAATGGTCTTGGGTTTTGTCTATTTGCTTCTCTCCAGTTCAGGAAAATGCTCTGAAGAGATGAGCTGAGTGTTTTATCCAGCTGATGCATTGTTCCCATTGATCCCAATCCCTGAGGTTAAATCAGGGGAATGAAACCACAGCCATTACCGTGGGGGGTTCCTGCCCCTCCCTCCAGAGCCTCAGAGCAAACACAAAACCTCTCCCTAATTGTTATTGATTTGTCTATCCCCTGAGTTCAGCCGTGGCAGAGGGGGAGGTACAAGGCCATTGCCACTAAAAATACACTGAAAGTGTGCTTGAAGTGAGGTTTGTGTGGTTTGTTTTTTTTTCCTTTGGAAGGAAAACAAACCAACATAATATATAATGCAACATAAAAAGGTTATTTTCTTTGCTGACCTCATCAAAAGAAGCCCAGCTTTAAATGCTTCCAGGTTTGAGAGCCTTTTTTCCCTGTCTCTAAGATTACCCTTTGCATTGGTAAAATGAACATTAATAAGCATTTCATAGCAGTAGTTTTATAGCTTAATAAATCAAGGGCAACGAGGAATTTTATTTCTCCCACTGATGCAGAGGCAGAAGGGTGGGAGCCAGAGGGATCTGCTCCAGGCACGTGTCTTTGGGTAAAAGTGAATTTACCATCACTTTTTCCTGTGAAAAAAAAGGGGAGGTCAGTGTTTCAGTACAGCCACTATTACATGATGCAGAGCTTAATTGTATGTTCAGTGTCTCAGCCTGTTTCTAGGATGTTCAAACCAATATTCATCCCAAAGGAAGTGTTTGTAAGGCAGAGTTCAAGGGGATATTTGCCCATTTCTTGGGGAGTAATGGCAAAGATTTAGGTTCAGTAGTCAGGATTGTGACCTGGGGTTCAGGGAACCACAGAATGTCCCGAGTTGGAAGGACCCCCAAGGATCATCCAGTCCAACCCCTGGCCCTGCACAGACACCCCAACAATCCCACCCTGCCCCTCAGAGCGTTGTCCAAACCCTCCTGGAGCTCTGGCAGCCTTGGGGCTGTGCCCACTTGCCTGCCCTTAGAATGGGAAAATGTGGTATGGGGTGGAATACTTGAAAAACACTTGGAAGATTGAAGGAGGAAGTCATAAAATATTCGTAGAGTCACAGAATCATTGAGGCTTAAAAAGAGCCCTGAGATCATCAAATCCAGCCATTCCCCCAGCACTGCCAGGGCCACCACTAGGGAGTGTCCCCAGGTCTACATGTCTTCCAAATACATCCATGATATTTCCTGGAATGAAGCAGGTGTAGGTTCTGTCCAGAACTTTGAAGACCACTGCACAACTGAAATAGCCCTTGGAGTCTCTTCCTGTTGAGGAGCCTCTCTGAACAGATCCTCATCTGTCTTTTATTTTGTTGTACATCAAATGAGTGTAACTTTGAAAAATTGGAAGTGTCTGCCTGATGCTAGTTTTAATAAAAATCCATCTGCATTTATGGCTGAGTGTAAAAAAAAATTCCTTTCCAATTGTTTTTTTAAGAGTTTTAAGCATGAATTCAGCCTTTGCTTGCCGTGATGAAAATCTGAATGTTTGATTGGAGAGGAGCTCGAGTGTCTCACTTCTCTTGGTTGAAATTGTTTAGATCAGTTTAAAGACATCAGCACAGACTCTTTGTTCTTTCTGAAGTAGTTACAGTTTCCTTGAGGAGACAGAACATCAAAATGTTCCTCATCACATTTTCTGAGGAGATGGGGTTTGAAAAACAGAAGAGAAAGAGTGAAGTAATTCTTTGGTGTGTTCCAGGAAGACACTCATTATTTAGACATGAAAGAACAATGCTGAGTGTGAGATGCTCCCTGGTCAGTGTTTGCAGGGTATGAAGACTGTGAGATACCCCAGTGTTAGTGGTGTAATCAATTGTTTTTTTCTTCTTTCTTGACATAAATTGTGCTCAGTGAACCAAAACCAATGTACTCAATGCTTAAAAGTTGTGTATGTACAGAATCACAGAATCAGGGAGTGGTTTGGGTTGGAAAGGATTTTAAAGCTCATCTAATGGGCAGGTTGCTCCAGCCTGGCCTTGGACGCTTCCAGGGATCCAGGGGCAGCCACAGCTTCTCTGGGCAACCTGGGACAGGGCTTCCCCACCCTCTCAGGGGCTGGTTAGACTTGGGTTGAAGTTGATTTCCTGAAAAGCATCTTGGCTTTTAGTACCAGAATGGGTTGGCAGGAAATTTAATGTTTCCTTCTGAACAGTAGAAATTCCTGTGGAAGTGACCCCAAAGTGTTTACTGATCCACGAATAAATTTTCCTGCTTTTCTGACAGATTACTGAGTTTTCTTAGTGTTATAAAATTTCTGAGTATTGTAAAAGACCTATTATGTTTTAAATTTCCCTCCTAGTTTATCAGGCTGTGATGGTTCTTCTGTTTCACTTTCTGCTCATTATTCCCTTCTTTTCCATTTCTCATATCAAAGAACCATTAGATGTTCACGTTGCCCCCTCAGTTGGACTTTTTACTGGTTTTTGCATTTGCACGGGAGGGGGGTCAACACTTGCCTTTTTAATGTGGTTTTCTTAAATAACAGATCCTCTCCCTTTGGCAGCCTGATAGATGGAGGAAGCTGCTAACCTGCTCTTCAGGCCACGGGAATGTAACCCCAATCCTTTTGTTCCACTCTGCAGACCCCCCCCAGTGAGTGAAAGTGCCCCCAAAGGAACCGTGGTCGCTGTTGTCACCGCAGCCGCCCTGAACCAGACAGTCGTGTATTCCATTGTTTCAGGGAATGAAGAGGGTGAGTACAATATCCACGGGCATGTTTCAGTCTCAGTGGCCATGCCTGGCCTGCTGTGGGCACCAGAAACCTGCAAGGAAGTGTTGGGAAGTAAAGCTGCTGCTGAGGGGAATCACACACTGGTTGAGGTTGGAAAAGACCTCTGAGGTCGAGTCCAACCCAGAGGTGAAATCCCACCTCATGAGGGAATTCCAGTACCTGAAGGGAGCCTACAGGAAAGATGGAGAGTGACTTTTTGTAAGAGCCCGTAGTGACAGGACAAGGGGGACTGGCTTCAAACTGGCAGAGAACAGGTTTAGATGAAATATTGGGAAGGAATTGTTCCCTGTGAGGGTGGGGGGGCCCTGACACAGGTTGCCCAGAGAAGCTGTGGCTGCCCCTGGATCCCTGGAAGTGTCCCAGGCCAGGTTGGACGGGGCTTGGAGCAACCTGGGGTTGTGCAAGGTGTCCCTGCCCATGGGGTTGGAATGAATTGGGCTTCAAGGTCTCAACTTCTGCAAACCAAACTGTTCTGCAATTCCATGATTCTATGACTGCCATTATCAAGCCTTTAGAGATGAGCTAAAGATCAAATTAATTTGCAGAATTGCAATTAAAATATTCACTAATGTGAAAACTCCCATTGCTGCCACATGGTGTGAATCCAGGGCATGCTGAAACGAGCTTTGATGAAGTTCTACTTGCTTAAGTCTGGCTTAAGGCATTACAGAGTTTGCCTTGCTGTAGCCACACGCATTAGATTAGAGCCTGATGCCTGAACAAAACATCCTGCTTGGGTGCTCTCTGTGATCCACCTGGAAATCTCAACAGAGTCACACTCAACAATTTGGAGGGATGTGAAAGAATTCTCCATCCCATCCTCCTTTTTGTGAGAGAGGGCTGTTTGACTTGTCTCCTCTTGCCAGTGTGACCTAAAATCCTGTGCAGGACCAGGGGGTGGACTCGATGAGCCTTGTGGATCACTTCCAGCTCAGGGTGTTCTATGATTCCCTGATCCTGGGATGGTTATCCCAGTAGCTGTGGGATCCAGCACAGCTTCAAAGTGGAGCTTAGAGGCCTGGGGGAGGGAGGGGAATGACTTTCCACAGACGGTGTCAGAGAACAGTGTCACCACCAAAACAAAACACCTGAGCATTAAAAAAAAAAACAACCATGTTTATGCATCTTAGAAAAAAAGTTGCTTGTGTTTTTGCTGGCTTTCAGATGTGTTTGCCATCAACAACAGAACGGGTGTGATCTCCATTAAGAAGGCTCTGGATTATGAAAGTGTGACGAGTTACGAGCTCCGGGTCCAGGCAGATTCCTTGCAAGTGGTGAGATCCAACCTGCGGGTCCCTTCCAAGAGTAAGTGGGAAAATCCATCCTTTTAAATCTCTTTTTTGCACAGATGGGTGTTGTTATCTGATGAGGGTGAGGCAGTGACCTGGTTGTGCTCCTGGAGATGGGAGGGTGATGATGGATCTCTAAGCCTGACTTCCTGCTCAGTTTTGAGGTAAATCCTCACAAACCATCTCCGTGTAGGTCTCAGTGACAGAGTCAAAAGTCATGTTGATGTATAAACAGAGAACTGATGGCACAAATTGTACATTCTCAGTGTCATTAGGGGGTTATGTGAGGGAATGGCACGGTGACTTTTTCACAAACACGTTGCACGGCCCAAACTGGGCTGGTGACACCTCACCAAGGGTTGGGACACTACCAAGAGGATGGGGAACAGACCCACAGCAGGGGGAGCAGGGAGAAAAAACTCCTTCCTCTCCCCTGAGGGTCTGTGTGGAGTGTATTGGAACCCCAGCTGAGAGCAAAGTGCTGGGACAAAGGCCAGAAGGTTCTTTGCAGCATCTGCAAGCAGGAAGGAGTTGATTCCCAACAGGTTTACTTTGGCTCTGTCTCATGGTGTGGGTTTTCTTTTTCCCTTGAGTGGCTTTCTTTTTTGAAGAAAAATATTTTGAAACGTCTTTTGATTATTTTTATCATCCTCCCTGTAAGGAAAGTGTCCAGGAAGTCTGGCTTTCAAACACCTGGCTCGCTTTGCCAGTCCTGTACCACTTCCTATTTAACTCACAGTTGGGCCAGAGCTTAAAAAAAGCCCCAAACCTTGTAACAAAAGAATTTTGGTAGATGTTTCCACACAGACTGTTCTTGTCCAATTTTTTTTTGTATTTTTTGGGTTCCATGTGTCAGTTTTTTTCCTGTTAAGGAGCATCATGGATGTGTTTTGGAGCTGAGGAGTCCCTTGAAGCCTGGCTTTGGGTACCTGCTGCTGTGTGTGCATACTTCATTCAGAAAAGGGAATCACACTGATATTTTGAATCTAGGAACTACAGATGGAGTTCAGATTTACTTCAGACTCCAGTTTTAGGAGAATAACCATTATTTAGTTAGTTGTCAATCCAGGGAGATACCATAACCAAAATGTCAACCTCGGACTGTTCCTAAACATCAGTGAGATCTGGGCACTTACAACGTGGGTGCATAATTAAACCTTCTCATCATTTTTGGAAACCCTTAGCAATATAAGGAGCAATTTAAATCCAAGTGCATCTTTGAAAGCATTGCTGGCTGGCTGATGCTGTGGGGATGGTGCTGCCACAGCCTTGGATTTGATCTCTGCTCCCAAGGAGGGCTGCATGGCCAGCCCAGGGCACGAGAACTCCCATCAATCTTTCATCTGCCTGTCACCTTCTTGCCAGAGATAATTCATCCTGCCTGTGTCCAGGCACAGAGAGCTCTGGGAAAACTGGAACTCAGAGCACAGTGGGATCTCTGTTTCTCCTTTGCTGCAGGGAGGAGTGAGCTGTGTCAGCTCTGTCTGCTTTGGCTGCTCACTCTGGGCAATCTGGCAGGGTGACAAAGTGCCACCCTGTCATGACAGAGAATAGGTCATATTCTCTGGGATGGGATATTAGGAAGGAACCCTGTGGGGGTGGTGAGGCCCTGGCACAGGTTGCCCAGAGAAGCTGTGGCTGCCCCTGGATCCCTGGAAGTGTCCAAGGCCAGGTTGGATGGGACTTGGAGCAACCTGGGATTGTGGAAGGTTTCCCTGCCCATGGAAGGGGATGGAACAAGTTGAGCTTTAAGATCCCTTCCAACCCAAACTATTCTGGCATTCTGTGATCTCGTATTAGTTGAAGGGGCTTAGGTATTGGGGCACATGCCATAAAACTTGGGAATAGTTTGAGGGAAAGCCTGAGACATTGTCCAGGGCTGGCAGTTACAATATGTTCATCCCAGTTTCCAGTATTACTTGTGTAAGCAGCAGGAGATTTTGGGAAATGGAGCACATGTCATCCTGGCTGATGTTCCAGGTGCCATTGGAGCTGTGTGTGCAGAGGGAGAGCAGGAGGGCTCTGGGACAGCTGTCTCAGCTTTGTGTGCCTGGCAGAGCTCCACTGAAGGGCATATGCTGGAAAATGCAGCCAGGCCGTGCACAGGGAGGACATGAGGCTTCTGGGCATCTTCCAGCCTTCTCCAAAGCTTTATCTGTCATGGATCAAGAAATGAGGGAGTCAGCAGGTTCTTCTCTCCTTCGAGGGAAGCAGTGGCCTTTCTATCCCTCTTCCAACTCCCAGCCTGCACTAGAGCAGTTCTCCCAACAGAGCAGCACTTCCCAAAAGGTGGTGGCTGAATTATTTTATCCAGGGATGCTCGATAAGGATTGGAGTTGGAATTCAGTCCAATGTGTTTGGCTACCCAGGAGTTTACAGCCTGTGCTGGGCTTGGAATATGCCCTGTGCTGCGTGGAGAGCCAAAGAATTTGGTAGATGTATACATTTTAAATATTTTACAAGTTTCTGGCCAGCTAAATCACTTATGTCTTTGTAATGGAGACCCCTTGACCTCTGGGTTTGATTCCTGCATTTCCACAATGTCTTCCTTTCTGTTTTCTCAGCACCTTGTTCGTTTTTGAGGTTAATCAGGTTAAATTCTACTTCAGAGTTTCAGGGCACTGAATTGATGAGCTCGAGTGGGAGGAGATGAAGAAGAATTAATGCACCACTGAGGACTTTGGTGCTACTGAAATGATGTATCCACTCTGGAGATGGGTGACTGTGAACGCCCTGCTCTGGGATTCTGTGACATGGAATTAATACACCACTGAGACATCCAGTGGCAATGAGGTGCTGCCACTTTGGGTGCTGGATACCACTAAATCAGTGGAATTTGCTCTGGAATTTCTGAGCAGGGCATTGGTGACCTACTCTGGAGCTGCAGTGATTTTTGGGCCCCTCACTTTGTGCAAGACCCGGAGGGGCTGGAGCGTGTGCAGGGAAGGGAACGGAGCTGGGGAAGGGGCTGGGGCAGCAGGGGGGGCTGAGGGAGCTGGGGGGGCTCAGCCTGGAGAAAAGGAGGCTCAGGGGGGACCTTCTGGCTCTGCAAGTCCCTGACAGGAGGGGGGAGCCGGGCGGGGTCGGGCTCTGCTGCCAGGGAACAAGGGACAGGAGGAGAGGGAACGGCCTCAGGCTGTGCCAGGGGAGGCTCAGGTGGGACATGAGGAGGAATTTCTTGCTGGAAAGGGTGGTCAGGCCTTGGCAGGGGCTGCCCAGGGAGGTTTGGAGTGCCCATCCCTGGAGGTGTCCCAGGAAGGCCTGGCCGTGGCACTCAGTGCTCTGGGCTGGGGGACAAGGTGGGCATCGGGCACAGGGGGGACTCGGTGACCTTGGAGGGCTTTTCCAGCCTCAGGGATTCTGGGATTCTCGAAATAACAAAGCTCTGACAAACTGCTCAGCCACCACACAGGGCTCAGAAGCTGGGTACCAACTGTTTTAACTGATGGTATTAGAGAAGATAATTATATAGAAGCAGGAGTTTGAGTTTTCATCCATGCAAGGGAAAAGTGGACACATAATGCATTAAGTGTAACTAAGCCTGTCATTCAGTGATAGTGCCACTGATAGTGTAGCAATCATTGAATAAATATATGAGGAGAAAAAGTAAATGATGTCCTTTGCAGTATGAGAACATCAAATGGGTAACTTAAGGTGGGTTTTTAATATATGATGCTAAATCATGCAAAGTCACACTCTCCCTTTCAATGGAATCAAACTCACTAAATGAGTTACTTTAAGTGAAACTTTATCACATGGAATTGCTGTGCATTTTTACTTCATTTGAATGGAAGGAGAGGTAGGTTTCCAGATGATGGTGAGTTAAAAAGCTTGGAATTCTGGCTTGAGGAATCAGCAACCTGGTGATGCTGAACCGTGAAAGACCTTCAGTGTTAATGGGGTTTGGACCATGCTCTGAGACACATGGTGGGAGTTCTTGGGGTTGTGCAGGGCCAGGAGTTGGACATGATGGCCCTCATGGCAGAGAGGGAAGGGGCAGGAGGAAGCAGAAGGATTTATGGGGAAGCAGAGGTGTTTATGGGGAAACAGAGGGAGCAGCAAAGTGCTGCCTAAACACACTGAGAAAGAGCAGTGGAGCTGTAGAGACAAACAGGGGCAAAGACAGGGTTTAACAGCAAATTAAACATGGTCCCAGTATAAGAATAAAAACATTAGTGGGCATGCCCAGAGAACCTGTGGCTTCCCCATCCCTGGAAGTGTCCAAGGATGGGACTTGGAGCAACCTGGTCTAGTGGAAGATGTCTCTGCCCATGGCAGGGAGTGGGACTGGATGATCTTCAAGGTCCCTTCCAAACCCAGCCTGGTCCCTATGCCAGGCAGATGAGAAATGCACTGTGGGGGGAAACATCAAGGCTTTTGATCCCAAAGGGAAGGGTATATTTACAAAGAATGGGAACGTGTGCAGGGAAGGGAACGGAGCTGGGAAGGGGCTGGAGCAGCAGGAGGGGCTGAGGGAGCTGGGGGGGCTCAGCCTGGAGAAAAGGAGGCTCAGGGGGGACCTTCTGGCTCTGCAAGTCCCTGACAGGAGGGGGGAGCCGGGATCCTGTGATAGGATCTTGTCAGAGATAGTTTTTAGTTTGGTGTCAAAAGATTTTTAAGCAAAAATAGACCCTTCAGCTGATTATTTCCATGTTTGATCCAGTCTTTCACCTTTGGCTGTCCCCCAGGTATGTTCCCAGCTCTGATCTGGGCTTTGCTCTGGCTTTTGCGGGGGTAAGGGAACAGTTCTGTCTCTCCTGTGTTGTTTTTGCTTTCTAAACACAAAGTAAACCTTTGGGAATAAAGTGAAAAAGGGAGAAAACCAGTTTTACAACTAAAATCCTGCAGCTGCTCCACAGTGGTTGGGAACAATTGTCCTACAAAGTTAAATATGAACATGGATTCTGTGTCCCCAATGTAATAGCAAATTAATAATAAGTAGCCTCACATTTTTAGTTTCAAACATGTTGCAAAAGTCGGTGCTGATGGCGTTTTACAAGTTGGCTGCTCTGGCAGTCCCCAAATCCAGGACAGATGGACACAATACGCTGCAGAGCCTGCAGAGCTGTGGCTGATTCCTCACAGCTCTGGGGCAGTTTGGGACAAACCTCAAATTTCTTTAGGTGTATTTAGTGCATTTTAGAGAGACCACATCAAATGTGAGCTCTCATTCAGTTAATTATTTGGTAGAAAATGAAGTTTTCTATGGATTTCAATCAGAGCTTGGATCGGTGCTGTTCCAGATATGTCGCTCTTTGTGTCTTGTCACAGCTTCTTTTTGCACCATTCTTGATCAGTGATAGCACATGAGGAGCTTCCTCAGGCTTTATGGGCTGATTTAGATCAAAATGCCACTGAACAGATATTCAGTGCTGATTCCTATTTGGTTGTGCCAAGTTCAGGAAGGGGAGATGGAGCAGCTGCAGCTCAGTGCAGTTCACCTGCCAAAGCCCAGAGTCTGCTCCAGCCCTTGTAAGGCAGGAGTAAAGTGCTACTAAACCCTGACAAATTACAAATCTCACTCCCACTGCGATTAAAATGCACTTTTAAAGGGAAGAATCTGCTGTTGCCTCCAGCAGAAGAGGCACTGCCTTTTGAGCTGCAGGGATTGATGTTAAATGATCTTTGCATGAAGAGCAGCTGGATCAGTGGCTGGTTTGGTGTGTTCCAGAAGACAAGGGCAGTGCTATTGAGGGAAACCTGTGTAAAACTAATCAGGGGACACTCAAAGCATCATTGATGCTGTCCCAGTGTCCAAAAAGCATTGCTTTAGTTCAGCTTCATTTCTGCAGCCTGGTGAGAAACGAATGGATCCAGCAGTGATGCTGGGAAAGGGTTTTCAACAAGAGTGTTTGGGAAAAACTTCTGGAAATGAAATGCTATGCACACCCTGGGAGGAACTTCTGGAAATGAAGTGCTACTACACACTAGTTGTGACCAGCTCCCTGGGGTTTCTGTGGGTTTTGGTTTCTGTGTTAGTCATTCGTGGTTTAGTAGTTTAAGTTGTTTCAGAGGTTTCTCAGCTTTTCACTCTCCTTGAGCAAATCCCAGAAGCTCAAAGATCCAAAGGTCTTCTGGTCTTGGGAGTGGTTATTTAGCTGGTTCTTATAAACCCAAGTTGACTTAGAGGCAGCTGCAGTTCTGTGTTCTCTGTGCACTGTAATTCCTCTCCAGGGGGCTGGAAAAGAGGGAAACGGGACACAGGGACCTTGCAGGAGACTGAGGTGGCACAAAATCAATTTTCTTTGCTCTTTTTGGCCCCCTTGACAGCCTGTGCTGCTTCATCCAGGCAGAAATGCTGTTTCTTTTTTCACCTGGCCAGCTGTTTAGGTAACTCAGTCATAGCAATAAGAAATATTCTTTAACTGTGTGAGGTCTCCCAAGAAGTCCTATAGAGGAGTAGATCCTGGTTTCAACTCCTGGAATCCATTAAAAAAATACAGAAGAGTGTAACTGTAGCTGGTCTCCAGGTCTGGAATACCAAAGATGGAAGGTTTTACATGTAGGAGGATATAAAATTTCTCCTGGGGAAGGTGAGTGTAACTATTGACACTCTTTGAGGATCCCTGTCCTTACAGTGGATGCAAAGAGGATTGGAGCCATACACAATGGCAAGAAGCAGCAGGAACAAATTAGGAATATGAAGGAAAAAGCAGTCCAATGGCAGAGCCTAAACCAGCCTCTGTAAGAGTGTGCTCCAGCTGGGTGGCCTTCTCCATGGGGCAGGATGCTGGAGGGGCAGGGCTGGTGGATTTTAGGAGCACCAGAGCCCCATGTTCAGGGATATCTGCTGAACCAAGCAGGAAAATCCCCATGGGGGAGGGTCTGGCACAACCTTCCACGCCTGGCACAGCTGCTGCTGAGGGGTCTTGGTGAGAATGAGGGTCAGGCAACCTCTGTAGCTGGCTGGGAGCTGTGTCCTGCAGCCAGCTGGAGCTTGGAATTGGATGCAAAGGCCAGCACAGGGAGGAGTTCACAGATGCCACGTTCCACTCCATCTGCCAGAAGGGAGGACATGTAAGCTGTGTGTAAAACTCAGGCAGAAGCTGAAATGCAGGGAGGTGTTTGGTGCTGACGGGGCTCTGTGGATGTGCAGGATATTTCATTTGGTTTGTGCTTAATGGGGTAACTTCCATTTCTCATTTTCAAAGCATTCACCCCTCACTAAACAAATCAGTGTTTTGGCAGCTCAGAGAACCGCCAGCAAATGAAACAAATGGATTGTTGAGCAAATTGTGACACAAACTTTGCAGGAGGCTGAGCCACCTCACCCAAGCGGGCTTGACATGGCAGTGATAGTGAGCACCAGGAAAAAAGGTGTTTAAATTTGCATTACACAGAGCTGGGGTAAGTGAGCAAAGGGCTGATCCTGCCAGCACTGATAGAATTAGATCTCCCTTCCAACAGCAAACTGGTGCCAGCCATTAATGTAGCTGGTTATTCCCTCAGCAGGGCAACATCACTTCGTGCATTGCCCGTAATCCTCCTCCCATTGTTGCCTCTTTCCCTAAAGAGTGGAGCTGCAGTGGAAGAGTCTGCCTGGGAATCTCATCTCATCTTTCTGCTCTAACTTGGTGTTGCAGCCAGAAACAATAAGGATCTGGTTTAACAAGATTTTTCTTTTCTTTCCTTTCTCTTTTTTCCTTCTCTTTGTACTAATGCACTGGATCACAGAATCCCAGGAGGGGTCAGGCTGGAAGGGACCACAGTGGGCATCTGGTGCCACCTCCCTGCTCCAGCAGGGCCAGCCCAGAGCACAGGGCACAGGAGTGTGTCCAGACAGCCCTGGAATAGCCCCAGGGAGGAGATTTCACACTCCTTCTGGTCTCTGTTCAGGGCTGGGGCACTGCCCAGCCAACAAGTTCTTCCTCCTGTCCAGCTGGAACTTCCTGGCCATCAGTTCCTGCCCGTTCCTCTTGTGCCATTGCTGGGCCCCCCGAGCAGAGCCTGCTCCATCCTCTGCCCCCTCCCTGCAGCCCCTCCAGCCATGGCTGAGGGCCCCTCTCAGGCTCTGCTCTGGAGGCTGAACAGCCCCAGCTCCCTCAGCCTTTGCTGCTCCCAGAGCTGCTCCAGCCCTTGGGCATCTCCGCAGCCTGCGCTGGCCCCGCTGCAGGAGCTCCCTGGCCCTGCTGTGCTGAGGAGCCCGAGCTGGGCCCAGCCCTGCAGATGTGCCTGCCCAGGGCTGGCCAGAGGGGCAGGATCCCCTCCCTGCCCTGCTGCCCCCCAGGATCCCACTGCCCTCCCTGTCCCCAGGACACAGGGCTGGGCAGGGACAGATCGATGGCATTATAAATGTTGGGGTTTTTTTCAGATTTCAGTTATTTACGTGGAGTCCTCACTTGTTTCCCATCAGTTGGACCTTCAAAGAGGCAGAATATGACTTTGGCCATTTGAGAAATAGTCTGGATTTAAATTTTTCTTCCCCTAAAGATACAGCTCCTAAACCTTGGTGAAGGAGCCCTGTTGTGTAACTAACTCAGCCCAGCGTGGCACCTGTGCAACATTTAAATTACCCTGGCACTGCAACGAGCTGGGAAAACCAACTCTGCAATGAGGCAATTTATCACTTGCAAATGTGGTTTTAATGAACTGGATATCATCATTTCCAGCAATCTTTCTGGATTATACAAGGCTGAAAGAGAGAAACAGATGCTGGTGGAGATTACTGCACGGTGGATTCTGTCTGGCACTGGCTCTGTAGTTTTTGCTGGATGTTTTTCCCTTGCAGAAGGATGGAGATGTTTATTGTTCAGTGGGGTGGATCAGGAACTGTTTAATAAAAGCAAATTAACAGTGGTGGTTTGTGTTGAACCTCTCAGGGGGGCTAATACCTGTGGAGTTCCTCTGGGCCAGACCAGGTCTGGGAAGGAGGACAGGCTTAGAGATGCATTCAATTAACACAATAAATTAATTGGGTGCTGAGGCTGCTTAGCCAGGGCTGCTGACCATTTATGAGTTTAGAATCACCTGTTAAGTAGCTGCAGGAGAGTTGGTAATAATTAAAATCTATAAAGCAAGCTGCTGTTTGCAGCAGACCTGCTGGTGCTGATCCTTCATTACCTCTTTGTAACATTTAGGAGTATTTAATGGGACCAAAATCTGTGTAGCTGAGGTATGACATCATTACTTGTGCTTTTCTAGTTATTTGAAAAATTAGCTACAGGTCTTTGCTTGTCTTTTACTCAAAGTGCTTGCTTTGTAAGGAAATCCATGGCACCTTTTTGCTCATGGGCAAATTCAGGTAGCCCTGATGGTGAAGTGCAGGGGTCCAGATAATGGGAATTATTCTCATAAAGGTACAAATTTCAGCTCCAAGTTAAACCAAGATCCATTCACCAAAAAAAAGCAAATGGAGAAATAATAATTAACAAAAAGGGGGTGTCCCAGGAAGGCCTGGCCATGGCACTCAGTGCTCTGGGCTGGGGGATAAGGTGGGCATTGGGCACAGGGGGACTTGGAGGTCTTTTCCAACCTTAATGATTCTGGGATTATGCAATTTTAGGATATCTAAGGTACTTATTTTTAAACTATTTTCCGTACACTGCCTTTTGTCTCTTCGGGCTGCAAATGGAATGCCAGCAGGTATCACAAAATTAGGATGAAATGTTCTATTTACCCTTTTCCTTCCCTCTTTTAGGTAACACAGCCAAGGTGTTTATCGAGGTGAAGGATGAAAATGACCACGTGCCTGTGTTCACCAAAAAAATGTACATTGGAGGGGTGTCTGAAGATGCCAGAATGTTTTCTTCTGTGCTTAAAGTTAAGGTAAGACTGAAGTTTTTTTAACTGACATTCGTTGGCAGTGGGAAAATATTTACTCACTGGTTTGATTTTTCACAGGAGATTTTGAAATCTGTGTCTTCTAAAGCTGCTGGAGCTTCTCAGGCACTGGCACCAATTTTTGCTGTATTTCTTCTTAGAAACAAGAATAATGAGCACAGAATGGGCCATTTTTCTGCTGAAATCAGTGTCTGAGTGTGAATAAGGGTGTGTTGGTTTCCACTGGTGTGGGTATGATTGACATGCCTTGTCCTGCTGTTCCAGCAATTACTGACACAAGGATGATTTTGAGTTAAAAACCAGGGGTTTTTTCTACTGAGTTTTAGGTGCTTATTTCCCATGAGGGTTTGTAGCTTTCATTTTATATCTGTTAATATTTAGATGATGATTTTTTGATGGTCAACACCAGTTTTTACCTTAGTTTTTTCTGACTACTTGGCAGCAGCATGTTTAGGTTTTAAAAGGGAAAGAACAGTTTCTGTTTCAGGTCAGCACTGGGACATAATTTTGAGGAAAATTAACTGGAAGGTTTTTAAAAACAGAAAAAATTCAAGAAAGTATAATACATAGAATCTAATTAGAACCAGACATAAAAATAGCCAAGAGTAAAAGCAATAAGTCTTCAATAAAATGCTTTTTTTTTTTCAATAAAACTGCTTTTGTGACACAATCTTTTGTGCTTGAGGCAGCTTGAGCTGCCAAGGCAGCTTCTTTCCTCTGGCTTTATTCTGTTCCCTCAGCAGATCTCCTGCATCTCTGTTCACTTTAAACATTAGTGGAATAGCTTTGAAGTTGCTGATTCCAGCTTATGCATGAAAGGGCACAGAAATATGACCTGCTCAGCTTTCTGTTGACCTCATGATGTGTTTTAGAGTGCCAGGAATGAAATAGAGAAGATCAGAGGTTATTAAAGAGTTGTCCATCGTTTTTTTCTTGGCAATCCTTCCCAAAATAAGTCCAGAAACAACGGAGAAGTGGGAAACTGTTAAGCTTCTACTTCACTGACTTCATCAAATGTGAACACTCCGTTCAGGCTTCATAAACAAAGCCAAAAAAAAAAAGGGTCACGTAGCAACACCTGTGGTTTTTTTAAAGGCTTATTTCTGTGGGGTTAAAGAAGCTGTGAAGGGACAGCACCACTGTGTGTTGGGAAGGACACACTCGGAAAAAGATCCGCGGGATTTCCTTGGACCAAATTTCTTTCCCTCCGTCTTCTGCGTTGAAATTTTAATCTCCACCAGGTTCCTCTGCCACGTGAAATGGGTGGTGACACGTGCCTGGGTGTGTGCCTGGTGCATGGGATCATTTAGGTTGGAAAAACCCTCTGAGATCATCAAGTCCAACCATTCCCTGGACGCTGCCAAGGCCACCACTAACCCATGTCCCCAAGGGCCTCTTAAATCCCTTCAGGGGTGGTGACACCACGCCCTGGGCAGCCTGTTCCTTTCTGTGAAGACATTTTTCCCAATATCCCATCTGAACCTCCCCTGGCACAGCTGGAGGCTGTTCCCTCTCCTCCTGTCCCTTGTCCCTGAGAGCCTGACCCCCCTCCCTCCTGCCAGGGAGAACAAGAAGGTCTCCCCTTCTCCAATGAAAAGGAAATTCTAGCTGCACAAATCAGCACTGGCAGTGTTGCTGTTGGGGTGGTCTGAGGCCATAACTGAGCAGAGTTTTGCAGGTGGGGGTAATATTTTTGTTAAACTTTGGTTTTTCCCTCCAGACTTTTCGCTGGTCGTTGCTTCCAGCTGCAAGCTTTAAGCTGAAGGTTTAACACAGTCAAAAACTACAAAAATTCTGGCAAACTCGTGAATTTCAGAAGGACTGAAGAATCATAGAATCACTAAGGTTGTAAAAGGCCTTTTTAAGGTCCACAAGTCCAAGCATCAACCAGCACCACCACCGTGTTCCCCAGTAACTCATGTCCCCAGGGGCCACATCCCCGTGGCTTTTGAACACCATGTCCCTGGGCAGCCACTTCCAAGGCTTTACAACCCTGTCTGTGAAGAAACCTTTCCTAATATCCACCCCAAACCTCCCCTGGTGCAACTTGAGGCCGTTTCCTCTCGTCTGACCCTCACCTGGCTCCAGCTCCTGCCAGGGGGTTGTGGGGAGCCCATAACAGGACCTGCACAATGGCACTGCAGGAGATCAAGAATTCTAAAGGGCCCAGTTATTTAGGTAAAGGAGTGTTTTGTGTCTGAAAGTAAATGAAACCCGAGTCACAGATGCCATTTTGAGTCGATCATACGGAACGTGGCCAGGCTGTGAAATCCTTCCTGCTTTTCCAAGAGCCATCCCTGACTTCTTAGGCACACATAGTCGTGTGTGTCAGTCAGAGGGATAAGAAAGGGGTGGAAAAGAGCAGCTATACAGGTGGGGGAAATTTGGGGGTGAAGAGGGGAATCTGCTTGTCCCCTTCAGAAACATTTGACTCAGGAAAGGCCATCAGGGGACAAGATCATCAAAGGAGGACCAAAAAAAAATGACAGTTTTATTTCTCGAAGCTATTCCTGACAGAATTCTCCCTGACTTTGCTGACAGGCAAAATGGATCGAGGCAGAAGCCAGAAATTGTTATAAGTGGATGGCATCAAACTGTGTGTTTAGTTAAAGTAAAATTAGAAACAATTAAGAAGTGCTCTTGTTGCAGAGAATCAGGCTGTAATTTATTGTTCTAGCACTGAGCATTTTCAGCACTCAGTGCCACTTAGCTTGTTTTCTGGCCTGTAGAAAGGAAAAGTAATTACTGTTAGTTAAGTACAATCTCCATTCCAGTTTGTTTTAAGAATAACTAATCAAATGAATGTCTTTTCTTGAACAGCTCAGGTGAGTAAAATTAAAAGAGTAGTTTTCCAGGTTGAAATTTAGAAGAACATTAATAAAGTACAGGTAGAGCTTGCACTGTAGAAATTATTCAGATTTTGATGCTACTGGGGAAGTCAGGTTCTTAGTAGGAGTTTCAAATGCACTTGCTGTCATCTTCTGCGACCATGAATTCACATCATCTGAGTAATTTTGAAAAGAAACTGATATTCTCCTCCTGTTCTCATTATTCCTGTCACTGACAACAGCTTTGATGATCCTCAAATATGGGGTATTAGGATCAGAGAACCCCAGAATGGTTTGGGTTGGAAGGGACCTTAAAGCTCATCTTGTTCCACTCCTCCCACTATCCCAGGTTGGACAGGGCTTGGTGGAACTGGATTGGGTTGCTTTGTCTTCATATGGTAGCTGGAAGTTTTGTAAAACACAACTTTTATAGCAAAATTTACAAGAGAATCCCATTTCATCAGACTTTCAGAGAAAAAGCACGTTCATGAATTATATTTTTATGTTCCAGGCACAAATATGTATTTAATTTATCCCAGTGGGTGCAGTAAGTATTCCCCAAAAAGGGCCTTCCAGCTGGATGGCAGAGGTTGCTGCCTTGGAAGCCCTACTTGTGGAAACACCAGTTAGCAAGAAGTGCCTTTTTCCAGAGTGGCAGGAGGAGATGATGGTTGAAAATAGGGGTCAGACTCATTGGCAGACCCTGGTCACTGATGGTTTGCTTGTTTGTTTTGAAAGCAAAGGAGGGGTTGAAGTACCTGAGGTTTAAAACTCATCATCTGGGTATCTGTATCTGCCTCAGCCTCTGGCTTGTGAAGATCAGGGTCTGGAGTTTCCAGTGAAGCCAGATTGTTTCTATTCCCATTTATCCATTTTTTTCATGCCAGAAAACCAAGACTCACCTTGAAATCTTTCCCCCAAAGTTGTTTGTGGCCTTAGCAGGGCGGGGTGAGCGACCACCACACAACTCTTTATGCTCAGATACCTCCAGTTTCACCTTCCTGAAGTTCCCAGCATATTCCCAAGCATCTCCAGGAGGGAGAGCCATGGGAAAAGAGCAGTGGGTTAACTGCAGTCCGTGGAATGGCTGGTGTTTGGATATGGGCTCAGTTAGATGTGATTTACAGGGTGTGTCTGCTTTATTTGCCAGGCTGTCATTCAATTATGAAGCATAATCCCAGTGGCAGGCACTTGGCAGCAGTTTAAGTTGATGTAATTGTTCCTTTTTTTGTCAAATAGGATAAAATAAATTGGATAAATAGGAAAAGATGAACTGAGAGAAGTTAGTGAGGAAGGACTGAATTGTAGGTGGTTACCAGGGTAGATACTAAGGAGACTTAAAAATAATTTTATGTTCTGGCAGAAATTAATTGTTTCTTTAATTTAGAGAGTATGTGAAGTACATCAGAGAATCAGAATGGTGTGGGTTGGGAGGGGCATTAAAGACCATTTCATTCCACCCCCTGCCATGGACAGGGACACCTCCCACTAGCTCAGGTTGCTCCAAGACTTATCTGGCCTGGCCTTGGACACTTCCAGGGATCCAGGGGCAGCCACAGCTTCTCTGGGCAACCTGTGCCAGGGCCTCCCCACCCTCACAGGGAACAATTCCTTCCCAGTATCTCATCTCTCCCTGCCCTCTGGCAGTGGGAAGCCATTCCCTGTGTCCTGTCCCTCCATCCCTTGTCCCCAGTCCCTCTCCAGCTCTCCTGGAGCCCCTTTAGGCCCTGGAAGGGGCTCTCAGCTCTCCCTGGAGCCTTCTCTTCTCCAGGTGAACCCCCCCAGCTCTCCCAGCCTTTCAAATGACCCAATGCAAAACTACAGCTTTCAAATAGAACCCCCCCCATCCCTGAAAGAAACCACAATTAGCTCTTCTTTAACGGGACATAATAATTATAGGGCATAATTAATGAGTGTAGTCATTAATTTTTAGTATAGTAGTTCATGTGAGTGGGTTTTGGGTAAATTCGTCACAAATACAGCACTGAACATTCAGATGTTTGGGGTCAGTTGTTTCAGTCGTGCTCTGTGGCTTGAACAAAATTTCAGCACTGGGAGTAAGAAACACTCAGACAACCAACCAAGAAAAGAAGTGGGGAGAGAAGGAAACAAATTGAATTTAGAGACCAATACAATATTGGATAAACACTTCTCTCA